CGGGGCGGGGCGGGGTGATGGTTGGCGCGAGGCGGAGGCCCAAGGCCAGTGGGGGTTGTTACATGCGTTGCACCAGTGGACCGGATCACCGCGCAGTGCACCCTCTTTGCTGACATAAGTAAATGGTAAGTTGCCGAGGCCAAGCAGCATGCCCTTGACTGTGGCCCCACAACCACTTCCCTTCCGATCCCGATGATCCTTTTCTGTTTTTGCGGTTGAACAATTCCCCTCGGGATCGCTATGGCCGTAGGTTTAAACCCCTGACCGCACTCTTGGACGTGACGCGGTGGAGATGTGCGTCTGCAAGGCCAGGCGAGGCGGGGTCCGGTGCGGGGGCGAGCGGAGACCGGAGAGCGGCGCTAATCCCCCGACCGATCGCTGTCGAAACCGTGAGAGACACAGAAAGAAAGGAGAGCAGTGCCGCCGCGGGGAGCACTCGCTGCTGCTCTCCCTTTGAGTTTTCGATGACAATCATCTTCTTTTGAAACGTCTGTCGCAGAAATTCTGCGTTGTCGCAGCCGCGAAACGGCGCAAAGAACAACCATGGCTACGGCGGGGGAAAAAATCGCTTTTTGCGAAAGGGCTCGCGGGCCACGGTGATTCCTGCTGCACGACGCGCCACGCTCCGCCACGGTGAAGGTCGGAGGCGGCGTGGGGCGGGGCCGAGACCTGCGAGTGCAAGCGAGCTGCAGTGAGGTGCCAACCGAGTTAGCGGGGAGACTCTATGCGTGACCCATCGCGAACCAATAATAATAAAAATGATAGGAACATATGGAGTGTGGAGATGGCATTGACATCGAGTCAAAAAACACGTCGCTTCACTCGGCCCTTACTCTCAAACAGAAAACCTTTGCAGTAGTTGTTCAATGCACATGTTCTTGGCTGAATGCGAGCATTCATAATGCCAAGAACAGGCTTGTTTGGGCGCGGACTAGGCGCGAGGCAGCTGACCTTCCGGACCCTTTTTAGCGAGAAATTGTCGGTAGAGCCTTTACTTTTCAACCTTGCGGAGGAGTGTTGTGTGGCTTGTGAGGCTCGGCCGTCTGGCCCCGCGGCGCGGCGCTGCCTCACAGAGCCTTTGAGTTTAAATGCCAAACGTCTGCGAGGCCGCTGACATAACGGCAAAGGGAAAAGATGATCAGACACTTGGCTAAAAATTTCGATGTTATTGGTATGCACTGGAGGCCCTGACCCTTTGCTATATTTTTTTTCTTGTTGTCTTGGTGTTTTTTTTTTTTACCGGGTCTTGCAAATCTATAACCGTCTGTGTGCGTGAACAAGCAGGCCCGCCCTTCCGCCAAACGAAGTTGCCAGCTCCGCTTCGCTCCGCCGGCAACTCCGTTCGGCAGGGGCCGGGCCTGCTTGGCCTGCCGGCGGCGATGGTCGGGCCTGCGGCCCGACCATTTCTGTCACGCGATTTGCTGAAGAACATGATCGAATGATGTAGCGGGCCTTCGGCCCGCTTAAACACGTCGTCTTTGAGTTTGCCCCAAAGACTCGAGAAAGGGATGTAACGGTGAAGCACCGCGACTACAACCCACCCTTCTGCTTAGAAAACGTGTTTTGGGGGTGGGGGGAGAGTTTCCTTTCTATTTGGCGGTTTTTTAGGCATTTTTCTACAACTTATTGTTCGCTATGGCAATTTTTAGCTTATTTTCGTCAAAAAAAGGCCCTCTAGCGCCGAAACTGTTAGAGATAGAGCGAAACGGACGAAATTTTCGCCCAAAGGGCTCTACTTTCACAAGTTACCCCTTAGGGGAACATAAAAACAAATTACCTTTTGGGAGAATTTTTGAACCTTGAATACCCACCCCTATTCACACCCTTAGGAGTGGTTGCTAGGATTTGCCGTAGGCGTTTCGTTCTCTAGGAGTGGACCTTAAGATGCCCTGAAAATTTCAAGTCTCTAGCACATCTCCTTCTAGTGGAACAGACAGACAGACACACAGACACACAGACACGAGGTCGTTTGCATAAGCCCGCTAGATAGCTTTTTCAAAGCAGAAGGGCGGGCTAAAAATGCTGCGAAGCTGCAAAGATAACGTTAAAATCAGTCGAATCATGCAGCCTAAACGTTATCGCACCATCTGGCTGGACCGTAACAAGCGTACTTTCTTCCTGTCGAATGGTGTAAAGCATTATATCTGGCGAAAGCGAATGCCCCCACCGTTGTCACGTCACTGCCGTGGCGTTGGGATCGAGGGAGCAACGGCGGCGCTTTTGGGCTGCTTTTATTCGGAGAAGTGCAGCCTCATGCCGTGAGCACTGCTACGTACCGCCTTCGTTTTCAAGTATTTTCCCCCTTTTCAAAATTAAAGAAACTTACCTATCACGTCGTAATTCATAGCGGCAGTGCATTGCTTTTCATATAACATATCCTAATACCTTCTTGTTTTGATTTTAATTCCCAACCTCTCTCCCATTATCCCATTTGTATTTGTTCTTTACCAAACGCCAGATTTACTTCATGTCGGGGAGAACGAGAAACGAGTATTGTTATCAGTGCCGTGGAATTGAGGTGCCTCGTTTTATCTCCACAATACATTACAGATGGTAGAAATGTTCCTGGATATTTGCACGCTAGTTTGAAGTCAATGGTGGTTTCTTCCAGTAAGCGAAATTTCGAGAACAAAATCCAGTACGTTCGTTTTAAGTTTACCGTGCTGAGATCGAGGGGGAAATAACTCCGGATAAAAGTGTACGAGTTAACATAATTGCGAAATTATATTATTACGGCACTGTTACGCTCGATATCTACCATAAGTACGCCGAGGGGGAAATCACATGCGAAATAGTTCGTACACCTTCCCCCGAAATAGCCCGAAATAAAGGCGAAATAGAGGCGAAATAGAGCGAAATAAAGACGAAATAGACACGAAATAGTCGGTGAAATAGTCGCGAAATACCCCTGAAATACTCCGAAAAAGCGCGAAATAGCCTGAAATAATCCGAAATAGGCGGGAAATAGCCGAAATGGCAGGAGAAATAACCGAAATGGTACGAGGAATACCACGAAATAGTCCGTACGCTACGAACCCTAGTGATTTCCCCCTCGAAGTACGCGTTATTACGCTGTTAGTTCGAGTTTAGTACGTTTTTAGTACAGGCCTGTGCGTAAGAGCTCGTACGCAAGTGATTTCCCCTTCGGCTGAGATTGTGATGTTAAAAACTACCCTCAATTACGAAAATTGAGGGTAATTTAATTTCAGTGAGTTTGGGTGTCAGGGCCACTACATAACAGTATGGTGGGTTTGCATATCTTTGGGTCCATGACGCCGTGCGGATGCAACAAATAATCAAAGCCGCATGCATTGCATGCTGTTGTGTCGTGGCCCCGACGCACGGTATTGGTAATTTGGAATAGATATGTTCACCGTTTATTGTGCATATAGGCTGAACTGAAAACAACATATCGGTATCGGTACTTCCCCATCAAAGGAATCGTCCAGATCGTACGTGTTTCTCAGATTCGTTCGGCAAATGTCCGGAGCTCGGCGCCTGTGAGACTCGAGGTAGGCCACCCCGCAGCACAGGTATGCACTGCAGACAAGATGTTGCCTATCCGTCAGGCGTTATGAGAGCTTCCATTGGGATACATCGCAATTTGATGGATGCACCTTCTGGATGATCCCACCAAGATTAGAGTGTCAATTTAAGTTTGAGAGCGAGGGTAGTCCTTAGCACAAATAAATTTTGTGTTCCACATCTCCGTTTTTTTGGTTTAATCTCTTTAATATATATCCCAGCACAATAATGTGCATCATACTTTGAGTGCCACGTTGATAGGACGAGCAGTGCACTGTTAACATTCCTTTGATTATTGATTTTGTAATTTGTAATCACCAATTTACGAACGATGTTGTAAATTTACGATGCCGTTCGTAAATTTACAACAGCTATCATTCTTACTGGTCAAAGAAAAAAATCATTAGAATTTCTTAATTTTACAATTTTTAAATCGTTTTGGTTTAACATATTTAATGTAAATGAAGTTACTCGTAAGACCTGCAGACATTTTTCACCGTCATGCCATTGATCGTCATTGTCGTTTCCGCGACTTTTCGCCAAGGTCCTGGTGCGGTCTGACCTGGGACCTACCGCGTGACTCGTCGCCGCAACCGCGAACTCTCCGGGCCAATCGTTCCGGAGTTGAGCGCCGGCGACACGATGTTTGTTTGAGG